CTGTAACCGAAGTGGAAAACAGGGCTAAATTAACCATACAAAGTGGGTGGGGTGTCCTGTTTGCTGGTTATTGAATGCCCCCCCACCTTCTCTCCTGCAAGGAAGCAGACGCCCAGCTCCGGGGGACACAGAAGGGATCCTTGAGAAAAGATTAAAACCGTCTTCTCTAACCTGGTGCTGTTGGGCTGGGTCGGAAAGGGACCCTGGGAGTGGTAGCGCGACCCATCTGAAGTCAGTGGATTGCGGAAGGCTTTGTGGGGCTCTCATTTCATTTTGTGGTGCTATTCCTTTTTCCCTGTTCGAGCCTGCCTGGGAGGAGGGAAGCCCCCAGGCGGAATTTGAATGTGGCGTCGGGGCCTGCGTCGCAGTCTGGTCCAGTGGGGAGAGGCAAGACGCTGGGGAGGACGTGGCAAAGTTCAGGAGGAGTCCGGTGCTCCCCTTTCCCAGCGAACCCATTTCATGGAAAGGCAGAGGCCTCCGTGAGCTGCAGACTCCTCCTGATCATTGGCCACCATCCACCAACCCAACTCCCCGCCTCCTACAATGGGTAAGAACGTGGATTTCTTTTCGAAAGCCTTGCTTCGTGTGTCTGGGTGACCGAAGGGCTCTGCGCGCACATACTGAGCTACAATCGTTGGCATCCCAGGGTGGTGGTATCACCTGGAGAGAGGCCGGGTGGGGCTAACTGTTTAAAAAAGGAAGCGGGCAACCTTCTGAATCCAGCTGTTCAGCCTCTAGCGGTGGCCAGCTGCAACGCACATCCTCCCCACCCTGTGCTGGGAGAGGATGCTGGAGGTTGTAGTCAGGCTGGGGAAGGGTTGCCTAGAGAGGTAGGACGCCCCAGAACGTGCAAGAATCCCGTTTGACTTGGCTGGCCACTTTGAGGTACGCTGGGTTGGGTGACGGGCAGAGCAGAGCGGGTTAGTGACCCTGCGGGCATCGCTCTGATATTTTTCCCAGACCCCCAAATACCTTCCGTTCCGCCTCCACCCAGGGTCTGTGATCTTGTCCCCCCGTACCGCGCATACATCCGATACGCCTTCTGCAAACTCTCCATGCAGATATGTGAGAGGCGAGGCGGAACCAAGTCCTGTATCAAGACTCTTTTGTATACCACAAACTTTTTGTATATTTTTAATTCTGCTGCAACATGATAATAAATTCATTTCAATAAAAACGGTCTTGATGGCATCGGTCTTTTTCCTCCTGCTGATTTCCACCAAGCACCAGTAGCTCCCTTCCTTTCTGCGAGCTAACCAGGGTTAGTAATTGCCTAGGCCTGTGTTTCTCAACCTCAGTCGCTTTAAGATGTATGGACTTCAACTCCCAGAATTCCCCACCCCACGTTCTTGCTTGGGGGGTGTGTGAAGTTTGGTCCCTGCCACCTTTGGAAGAAAAATTCAATTTA